AATCAACGTGATACACCACATCAACAAACTGAGGAATAAAAACCACATGATCATCTCAATAGATGCAGAGAAGGCATTTGACAAGATCCAACAGCCATTTATGATAAAAACTCTGAACAAAATGGGCATAGAAGGAAACTACCTCAACATAATAAAGGCCATATACGACAAACCCATAGCCAACATCATACTCAATGGGCAAAAACTGAACCCCATCCCCCTGAAAAGAGGAACGAGACAAGGATGTCCTCTATCACCACTCCTATTCAACATAGTACTGGAGGTCCTGGCCAGAGCAATCAGGCGAGAAAAAGGAATAAAAGGAATCCAAATAGGGAGGGAAGAAGTGAAACTCTCGCTGTTTGCAGACGACATGATCTTATATATAGAAAACCCCAAAGAATCCATTGGAAAACTCTTAGAAGTAATCAACAACTACAGCAAAGTTGCAGGGTATAAAATCAATTTGCATAAATCAGTAGCGTTTCTATATTCTAATAACGAACTAACAGAAAAAGAACTCAAGAACACAATACCATTCAGAATCTCAACAAAAAGAATAAAATACTTTGGGGTAAATTTAACTAAGCAAGTGAAGGACCTATATAATGAAAATCACAAGGCCTTTCTGAGAGAATTGGATGACGACATAAGGAGATGGAAAGACATTCCATGTATATGGATTGGAAGAATAAACATAGTTAAAATGTCCATTCTACCTAAAGCAATCTACAGATTCAATGCTATCCCAATCAGAATCCCAATGACATTCTTTACAGAATTAGAACAAAGAATCCTAAAATTCATATGGGGCAACAAAAGACCCTGAATTTCTAAAGCAATCCTGAGAAAAAAGAACAAAATGGGAGGCATCACAATCCCTGACTTCAAAACATACTACAAAGCAACAGTAATCAAAACCGCATGGTACTGGTACAAAAACAGGTGCACAGATCAATGGAACAGAATTGAAAGCCCAGAAATAAAACCACACATCTATGGACAGCTTATCTTTGACAAAGGAGCTGAGGACATACAATGGAGAAAAGAAAGTCTTTTCAACAAATGGAGCTGGGAAAACTGGAAAGCCACATGTAAAAGAATGAAAATTGACCATTCTTTTTCACCATTCACCAAAATAAACTCAAAATGGATCAAAGACCTAAAGGTGAGACCTGAAACCATAAGGCTTCTAGAAGAAAACATAGGCACTACACTCTTTGACATCAGTATTAAAAGGATCTTTTCAGACACCATGCCTTCTCAGAGAAGGGGAACAATAGAAACAATAAACAAATGGGACTTCATCAGACTAAAGAGCTTCTTCAAGGCAAATGAAAACAGGATTGAAACAAAAAAAACAACCCACTAACTGGAAAAAAATATTTGCAAGTCATATATCTGACAAAGGCTTAATATCCATAATATATAAAGAACTCTCACAACTCAACAACAAAAAATCAAACAACCCAATCAACAAATGGGCTGGAGACATGAACAGACATTTCTCCAAAGAAGATATACGATGGCCAATAGGCACATGAAAAGATGCTCATCATTGCTGATCATCAGGGAAATGCAAATCAAAACTACACTAAGATATCACCTTACACCCATTAGAATGACAAAAATATCTAAAACTAATAGTAACAAATGTTGGAGAGGTTGTGGAGAAAAAGGAACCCTCATACAGTGCTGGTGGGAATGCAAACTGGTGCAGCCACTATGGAAAACAGTATGGAGATTCCTCAAAAAATTAAAAATAGAACTACCATATGATCCAGCCATCCCCCTACTGGGTATTTATCCAAAAAGCTTGAAGTCAGCAATCCCAAAAGTCCTGTGCGCCCCAATGTTCACTGCAGCATTATTTACAATAGCCAAGACATGGAAGCAACCTAAGTGCCAAGCAACAGATGAATGGATAAAGAAGATGTGGTACATATATACAATGGCATACTACTCAGCTGCAAAACAGAACAAAATCATTCCATTTGCAATAACATGGATGGACCTTGAGGGAATTATATTAAGTGAACACATAAGCCAGCTAGAGAAGGATAATCTGTGTATGACTCCACTCATATGAGGAATTTAAAAATGTGGACTAAGAACAGTTTAGTGGATACCAGGGGAAAGGTGGGGTGTGGGGTGGGCACAAAGGGTGAAGTGGTGCACCTATAACACGAATGACAAACATTAATGTACAACTGAAATTTCACAAGATTGTAACCTATCAACTCAATAAAAAAAATAAAAAATAAATAAATAAACTGTCAACACTATTAAAACTAGTAAATGCATTCAGTAAGGTTGCAGGATATAAGATATACAAAAATCAATGGTATTTCTATACAATTGCAGTAAACAAACCAAAAATGAAATTTAAAAAACAATTCCATTTGCAACAGCATCAATAAGAATAAAATACTTATGGATACATTTAACGAAAGCAGTGCAAAACTTATAAAACTACGATACAATGTGGAGGAAATTAAAGGAGGCCTCAGTAAATGGAGAGACATCTCCTGTATCAGAATCCCAGCTGACTTCTTTGGACAAATTGAGGAGCTGATTCTAAAATTCATGTGGAATTGCGAGAGTCCCAGAATAGCTATAACAATCTTGAAAGAGAAGAACAAAGTTGGGGGTCTCACTTTCTGGTTTCAAACTGACTGCAAAACAACAGTAGTCAAGACAGTGCGGTACTGGCATAAAGACAGACACATAGACCAGTGGAGTGGAATAGAGAGCCCAGAAATAAACCCACATGTCTAAGTCAGTGGATTTTCAGCAAGAGCGCCAAGGCTTTTTAATGGGAGTGAGAACAATCTTTGAACAAATGGTGCTGAGACAAGTGGTTATCCACACACAAAAGAAGGAAATTCGACCCCTACCTCACACCACGTATAAACATTAACTCAGTTTGGACTGGAGATCTAAATGTAAGAGGTTAAACTATAAAATTCTTTGAAGAAAATATAGAGGTAAATCTTCATATACTTGGACTTGGCAATGGATTCCTAGGTATGACACCAAAAACATAAGCAATGAAAGAAAGAATAGATACGTTGGACAGCATCAAAATTGAAAGCTTTTTTTTCTTCAAAGGACACTATCAAGAAAAGGAGGAGACAACTCGCAGAATGTAAGAAAGTATTTGTAAATCGTCTATCTTATCAGGGACTAGGCAGAATAAATAAACTCCTACAACTCAATAATAGAGACAAATAACTGAGTTAGAAACCGGACAAAGAGTATGAATAGAAACTTCTCCAAAGAAAGATGTACAGATGGCCAATAAGCCCGTGAAAAGATGCTCAATGTCATCAGTCGTCAGGGATGCGCAAATTAAGCCACACTGAGACGTCACTTCACACCCACTGGGATGGCTGTAATCAAAAAGTCAATAACAAGCATTGCTGAGGACGTGGAGAAAGTGGACCCCTCAGATGCTGCTGGTGGGAATGTAAAATGCTGCAGCCACTTCGGAAAACAGTCTGACAGTTCCTCTGGTGTTAACCATAGAGTTACCACGTGACCCAGCAACTTTGCTCCTAAGCATATACTCAGGAGAAATAAAAACATGTCCACACAAAACCTGTCCGCGAATGTTTACAGCAGCATGATTCATAAAAGCCAAAAGATGGAAACAACCCAAGTATCCATCAATTGATGAATGGATAAATCAATCGTGGCATTTCCATACCATGGACTATTATTCACCCATAGAAAGGGATGAAGTACTGACACATGCTACACCATGAATGAGCCTTAAAAACATTACACCAAGCAGAAGAATCTAGTCGCAAAAGGCCACATATTGTATCAGTCTATCCATGTGAAATGTCCGGAACAGGTGAATCCGTAGAAACAGAAAGTAATCTTGGGCTTCTTTAGGCTGGAGGGGGAGGGAAGTCGGTCTGATGGCCATCAGGTGCTGGGTCCTTCTTGGAGGGGTGGAAATGTTCTAAAATTGATGTGCTGATGGTTGCACAACTGGGAATGTACTAAAAGCCCTTGAATTGTGCACTTGTGAGTAGGCAAATTGGCATTTGAATTATGTCAACGAAGTTGTTAAACAAAAAGAGTCCCGCCATTCTAACAAACAGAAACGCCCTCCTTTCAGCTCCACGTTTCCTTTTAACGCAATAATTTGTGGTGCCGCCGCATGACCAGACCCACTTTGAAGTTCTGCCTTGTCGTCACCTCTCCCAGAAGGGTCTCCCTGTGCCACGTGGTCCATGTGACAATTGCTTTGTTGCTGCTCACACTGTCACAGAGCTGGCTTCCGGGGCCCACATCCTAGTCCCCACGGCAGCTTGAGCGGCGGCCCTGGGTGCTGGTGGGCACGGGACAGACGGGGGAGGAAAGGCGGGGCTCCCATCATCTCTGTCTCGTGGCCAGCAGGTGTTTGCGGGGTCACTACATCTTAAGGGGTGGTGAGGAATCGGAGCTTAGGCAGCCTTTCTGGGGGGGAACTGACGTGCTGTCTAAGGAGATGGAGGTGGAGGGATGCGGTGGAACCCTGGTCGGTTATTGTGGGCGCCCGCTGTCCTCCGGTCCGCCGGCCCTCTGTGCATCTTGCACCAGCTGCCGGAGAGCAGAGCCGTGAGTCTTCCCTCCAGAGTGTTGTGAGCTGGGGAAGGCCAGAGAAACCTGGTACTGCCCAGTGGCCTTTTAACACTGTGGTGAGGGGGACACTGAGCTGATGGATGGTGCAGAGGCAAGCTAGCCAGGAGGCTGCAGATGGGTGGGCAAGGATGCAGGAGCAGCGGGAGGCCAAGGGGCAAAGCCCCCTCTTGGAGGTGGTGGAGCCCTCGGACCTGCCGCTGGGCTGTCAAAAGCATGGGGCCCCCACCTGCCTCCCTGTGGCGCTGAAGCAGGCTCACCGTACGAGGCTGGTCAAGGCAGGCTGCTCAGCACCCCCTCCGCCCATGGGCATCATGGCTCGACCAGGGGGTCCCGAGGAGGTAACACAGGTCTCTCTCTCGGCACAGCGGAGCTGATGCCCTCCCACAGGCTGAAGCGGAAGAGCACGGGGCTGCCCAAGGCGCTGCAGCTGGAGGATCAGGGGCAGTAAGTTGCTGGCTGAGGGCCGCGGGGGCTGGATGGTGCTGCTGGCTCCAACCTCCCTCGGGACAGCATCACTCTGTCTGACCCCTGAGCGGCGAGGCCCTGCTGGTGGGCTGTGGGTACGGGCCAAGACGTGGGTGGCAGATGGGGTCGCAGGGCGCACGCTCATGGAGTGGCCTGAACTGCTCTGGGCGGGTCGGCACAGGGCTCCCCGTCCTCCAGGGGGGTGCCTGGGTGTGGTTTAAGCCCAGGTTCTGCTTCTTCAAGATGAAGAGGCCCCCACTGTCATGGTGGAAGTGCTGCTCTGGGCCCTGCACCCCTCCTCACCCCTGCATGGCTAGCCCCTCCTTGGGGTCACGGCTCTGCACCCACTCTGCTCTTCCGGAACATTCTCTATATACCTGCCCACCTTATTATCCCTGTGGGCATCCCTGACGGCCCAGGAAACCCTGGTGGGTGGGTGGGGGTGATGGACGGGGGCAGCAGGCGTGGTGCACCCACCCGGGGCTCACTTTCCTCCTGAAGCAGAGCGTGCAGGTGTACCAGGGTCACCCACAGCCCTCACTGAGCCCACTCGGGGTCTGCTCCTCCCACTTTCAGACATTCCCCGTGTTGGGAGGAATCCATCCCCCACACGAGGGCCGTGGCACACGAGGGTCCCCAGTGCTGTGGCGTGGTCACCTACCGGCCCTGCTGGCGAGCACTCGGGTACCTTCCAGGGCTCAGGGCTGGATTCCTGTTCTAGATAGCCCTGAGCTGGACATCCCTGGATGGGGACTTCATGTCTTCTGTCCACATGCGAGTGGCTACCCTCTGCAGAGGATGGTGGGGTTGGAACCCACACCCCGTCTGGAGGGGTCGGCGGGTAAGGGCCTGGAGCATGGTGTCGGTCAGGCACAGATGGCAGGCACTGCCCGACTGCCCACACGGCTCCCTTGCAGGATTCCCTTCTTCAAGTTCTGCTACCAGTGTGGCCGCTCCATCGGGGTGCGGCTGGTGCCCTGCACCCGCTGCTACGGGATCCTGACCTGCAGCAAGTACTGCAAGACCAAGGCCTGGACGGACTTCCACAAGAAGGACTGCAGTGCCCTGGCAGCCCTCGGTGAGTCCAGGGGCCCGGCCGGGCTGGGGGCGCCTGCTGCTCCTGGGGACACAGGAACAGGCCTGTGCGGTGGCCAGCGAGGGTCCCTATCATTGCCCTAAATCTCTCAGATTCAAGCCACTTTCCAGAGTTCCCAGGTGAGCCTGTTGTGGGGACAGGGAGCACACCGAGCCAGCCTGGCCGTTCCCCATCTACCGCGGCAACACTGTGCCTAACGGCGCCCTGGAGGTGGTCATGCCCTGGGCCCCACAGAGCTGGGACACCGTGCCTGGGGGCTCTGCTGACACCTGGGGGCTCTGCTGACACCTGGGGGCTCTGCTGACACCCGGGGGCCCTGGTGCACCACAGGGCATTGGCCTTGGGGCTGCTTCTGGAAAGTTCCTCCTAGCCTGCCCTCTCAGGCATCCCTACAAGTGTGGGTGGCAGCAAGTGTCTGCTCCTGGAGACACCCTCCTCTCCCCTGACCCCTTTGGTGTGTGACCTGAGGAGGAGCTGAGAGCATGTGAGTGGAGATTCCACCCCGGCCCTGTGCTCCGAGGGCGGCCGGTGGTGAGCAAGGCTGCGTGTGAAGCTGTCCATGGGACTTGGCCGGGTGGGCCTGGCCCTGGGGGGGCTGGGAGTGGGGCACGTGTTGCCTGCTCTTCTCAGAGCCTTTCCTCGGTGGGAACAGGGAGGCTTGGTGACCCCTGCCCATGGGCCCGTGCCACCAAAGCCGTTCCTCTCTGAGCTCTGACCCTCAATGTTGCCTCCATTTTCCCCTTTGTAAAATGAGACTTTTAGTAACAAGTCCTCACTGTGGGGCGCACCCCAGATCTGGTCACAGCTCCCTTGGCTTGGGGACCCCAGGACGGGGGCCTAGGGGGCTTTCAGGCTCCCTCTTTGAAGAGTCCTCACAGCTGACACTCAGTCCTTGCCGTGTACCCCACACTCGTGCAAGCACAGAGCAGAACACGACTGTGCAACCCTCACCCCCAGTGGGGCTCTTGCCGCCCCACCCTGCACCAGGGAAGCCGAGACTCAGAGGACTGGAGTCCTCCTGGGGACGGCCCAGGCCCTCACCCCCCTCCTCCCCGCCAGTTCCTAGTCCAGGGGCCCCCCCAGAGGACGTGTGCTTGAGGGTGGACGAGTCTCATTGAAGGAGCAGCGCCCGAGGCCGAGGCCTGGGGAGGGCCCAGCGGCCGTGCGTGCTGTGCGGAGTCTCGCCCTGGGCCCCCTCTGTCCTGATGCGGGAAGTCTGTGCGTGCCAGCGTCTCCCTCCTGACGACCTCGCAATAAAGTGGCCCCACTGCATGTGTTTTGAACCCTCTCTGCCCGGCTCTGCCTCTACCCCGGCAAGCCCAGGGCTTCTGAGGGGCCTGGGTCCGCACTTCAGATCTCCCTGGCCCGCTCAGACCTGGGCCACCTGTCAGGTGGATGAGGGTAGGACCGGAGCACGCTCCAGAGATTGTTGCCAGAAGAAGAGATTATTGCACCTCTGGGGAATGTCTGGGGCTTCCCGGGAACCCACAGCCCCGTCTCCCCGCCCTGCTCAGAAGGGACAGGCTGGGGCATCTCATGTTCCTTCCCACGGGCTCCAGGCTTCCTGCTGTGTCCAGAGCATTCATTTCTTGCACGCGCATTTACTGAGGGTCTGTGTGTGCCGGCTGTGTTCTAGGGGACGGTGGATATGGAAACCACCCACGGTTGACACGGAGAAGGGACTGAGGGTGACCGTGAGCCAGGCATGACGATGAGGTTGGGCCAGAAGTGGTGGGTCTGCTTTCAAGGAGAGGGCGGGAGGGAAGGGGCCGTGAGGAGCGAGGGCTGGACCATGTGCTCAGAAGGAGGAGGTGGTGGGCACGTCCAAGGAGGAGGTGGAGGACGGGGGGGCCTTCCTGCTGAATGCAGAGTGGCAGAGGTGGGCCAGGGTGGGTGGGAGAAGAGGCTGGGAAGGGGGTGATGGAGCCTGCATGGGGACCAACCTGGCCAGCTTTTTGCTGGTCAAAGCAGCCCCTCCCACAGCCGTGGTTTTGCCTGATTTTCTTGGTCTCTTGTCCAAGATGGGGCTCCCTATGCAGGAAGTTCGCTTAGGGGGCATCCCGGACGATGTTCCTCTGTGTGAGTGGGATAGGGGTGGGGAGGCGCCTAGGCAGAGGGAGAAATGACCTTGTGCATTCTCTGGAGGGGGGCCGGGCCTTTGTACCCCAGCATCAGCCAGTTCTGGTTGCAGGCCGCCCCTGCCGAGGGGGCAGGGGGTGGGGGTCATGAACCCCAGGGAGGGGTGTGGGCAGCTCTCGCTTCATCTGCCAGGAAGGAAACCGCCCCTAATAAGTACTGCTTATTTTAAGCTGTGCTTGTTAACTGGATAAAAGTTACAGGATATATACATACAGAAAGAAAAGACAAATGACAATTATCCTGACACCCAGAAATTGCCATTGCCAACACTTTGGTGTCCTTCCAATTCCAGCTGTGTGTCTATATAGACTCCCACACACACGCACACACACCACACACGTGTGTATCTCAAAGTGCGAGCATGACCTATTTAAACTTGGCCACGAGCATCTTTCTATGCTATTAAGTATTTTTCTGCAACGGAATTCTCCCCAAAGGAAAATAGTTTTACTATTTTTTATTCTGATTATGCATGCGATATATGCTTATTGTTAAAACAGAAGACAATAAAGAAAAATGAAGAGAGCCAGTCTTCCTAATCTTACTGCTCAAGGATAAATATCCTGAACGTTTTGGTGAACATATTCTTTTAGATTTTAGTTGTGCACACACGTGTGTACATCCTCAAGCATGCAAATGTGCTTTTTCATGCCCCTCCATTTATTTTTAAGATGGAATTAAAATTTTGATTAAAACAGAATGGTTCATTTTGCAGCCTTAACCTGCCTTTCTGACACCTCATGTGCGTCCTGTCATTTTCATTGGGAGTGGAGCGTGTCTGCCCGATGCCCTGTTGATGGGCACATGGGTTGTGTCATTGTCCTCTTGGGAAACAATGCTGTGCAAGCACCCCATTGGCCTATTTTTCCCTTTGTCTAAATTCACAGAGGTTAAATTCTCAGATTTTGAGAGTATTCCCATTTTCAATTTTGCTTTCGTAGCATGCTCTCTGGGAAGCTTAATGAGCGTGTCTCTGCCCTACACCCTTTCAGGAATGAGCATCACCGAGAGATTCAATCTTTTCCAGTCTCGTAAGGATTTCACACGAGTGTGAGCACCATTGCCTCAGGCGGATGCAGCCTTATGTTCCTCCTCCTGCTCCCTCTGATTGGAGCTGTTTGCTCCTTCTGACTGGTACTAACTCTCTCTAAAGCACGTTACCCTCTCTTCTGCCTCGCATGGGAAGGACCCCTCTCAGCTTGAACTTTGCTACACGGAATTCTGTTCTCGTGTCAAATCCGTCTGCCCTGTCTTTAGGGTCTGGTTTGCTGGAATGCTTAGGGAGCAGTCCCCAGACAAGCTTATGCCAGGACACAGATTTTAAAAACGATTTTCATGCATTATTGTTTTACCTGTAATTTTTTTTTTTTGAGGAAGATTAGCCCTGAGCTAACTGCTGCCAATCCTTCTCTTTTTGCTGAGGAAGACTGGCTCTGAGCTAACATCCATGCCCATCTTCCTCTACTTTATATGTGGGACGCCTACCACAGCATGGATTGCCAAGCAGTGCCATGTCCGCACCCAGGATCCGAACCAGCGACCCCTGGGCTGCTGAGAAGCAGAACGTGCGCACTTAACCACTGTGCTATCGGGCCGGCCCCTACTTGTAATTTTATAATCAACCTCGAACTAATTTTCGTGTAAGGGACCACAGAGCCACCCAGCTAGAACTTCTCCTGAGTTGAGTGTCTGGGCTCGGAGGTGACCGAGGAACCCATCTCTGCTTGCCGCGCGCACGTTGTCCTGGAGGCCTTGGCTGCTGCCCCGCGCTCTGCTCTTCACCCGCAGACGCTGGGACAATCTCAGCTTGCTGTCTCCCCTGCGACATGCACTACCTGTTGTCACATACTTACTCGGATGAATTGTGGGTTCAGTTTGTCAAGCTCAAATGTCTTCTTGGGACTTTGTAATTGTTTTAGGTGTTTGGTTTGATGAGCAGATGCTTGGCGTTTAGAGTGCTGACTTTTCCAGGCAACGATATGACGTTATGGTCGCGTTTGATAGTTTCCTTTATGTAGGAGTCACCCCGACCACTCTCACATTCACACCTCACATCCAACCCTTCAGGACGTCTGCTCAGCTCTGCCCAATCTGGTGGCTTCCAGAACCTCCTGCCCCTGCCACCCCTACCCTCCTCTCCATCCCTGAGGTCACCTGGGCTCTGGTGCGGCCAGAGGCCAGCCCACGCTGCTCCTCCGTCCACTTGCAGGACCTTCCATCGAGGTCCTTGCAGCTCCAGCCCTGCTGCCTCCCCGCACCCATCGCTCACTGCCCCTTATGCCCTGCTCCAGCCAGGCTGGCCCCTCCTGTGTGGGCTCCACCCCTCTCATGGGGATCTGGCCTCACTGGGACTGTCCGTCACCTGCTGGAGGCTGGCAAGGGGTGAATGTGCCTAAGTTGCTGAGGGGTGGAGTGTTCAGGGCTGCTGTGCTTGGGGGTCACCGGGAGCTGGGCGGTTGAGACAATGAGCCAGATGGGAGTGAGGTCAGAGGGGATGGGGGTGCAGGGCCTGAGACTCGTGAGGATCTAGACTCCCCCGGAAGGAAGGAGAAGGCCCCTGAGGGCCTGGCACTGATTCCCTCTGGGACCCTGCTGAGTGTCAGAGGTGTGAGGGCAGGAGTGGCCACCAGCCAGGCAGTGGGCCCAGGGCAGGACTGTGTGTGGGTCACACCCCAGCAGTAGGTGGCAGCAAATTGTGATTCTGGATATCCTCCGAAGGTCAAGTGAGATAAGGAGGGGTCAAAGGTGATGGGGTTAAGGTTTGATGGGAGGTGCTGGAAGGATTGGGGGTACAGAGGAGAGCATGGTGGTGCAGGGGTCAGAGTTCAGTGTAGAAATGCTGGGTGTCTGGTGGGCACCCGCGGGGGATGGGGCCACAGAGAATGTGCACGTTGACTCAGGGAAGATGTCTGTGATGGATGGCCACTGGAGCCAGGAGACTGCATGGGGTGTGGAGGCATCCTAAGAAGTTGGGAGAAGAGGGGACCGCCCACTGAGCCAGGAAGCGGAGGCCGGGGGCATGTGGTTTTCTCCCGCCCCTTCAGCTGTGGAGGGTGTGTGTGTATTTGTGCGTGTTGTGTAGAGGGGGCAAATTGCCGAGTAGGTGGAGGGCGGGTTCAACTCGAGGTGGCTTAGCCGGCAGGCTGTTGAGGGGTTGGTTTGCTGAGGGTCCTAGGCCAGCCCACCCACCTTCCTCCCCCTGATGCCTGCCCGCCCTCTGGCTCATGAATGTGCCCAGATGGCCACTGGCTCACCGGGTCCCCTGTGGCCCTCGCTCCCATCTTCCTACCTCTCCAGGCTCCTCTTGGCCACCCACCTGGACTCTCGGGGTCCTCTCTGGGGCTGGGAAAGACGTGCCCTGCCACCTGCTCAGCCCCACGGGGCCCATACCAGGGGCAGTGGAGGTGGGGCGGGTGGAAGGCAGGACGACACAGCTGTGGGGTGTCCAGGGTGACCAGACAGGCGACTTCAGAGCGAGTGTGGAAGCCCTGGGCTGCAGGAAGAGACGCAGGTCGGGGGACAGTGGGAGAAGGACCACAGTAAGGGTGTGGGAGCTGGAAGGCGTGGGCCGAGGGGCCAGCATGCAGGACAGTGGGCCAGTAGTGTCCGCAGTGGATGTGTTCCAGAGGAGGCGAGGTCCAGGAGGTGGAGCGAGAGGAGGTGTAGAGTGGTCCATTGATCCCACTTACAGCAGTCTGGAAGCCAGCCACCACGCCCCACCCCCACACCTGTACCGGGGCTCTCGGGAGAACGGGCAGCTGCCCTGAGGGGTGGCCAGGCCAGGTCAGGGGAGCCTTGGGAAGAGAGGCCCAGGAAGCTGGGAATAAAGGGGTGCAGGGGAGCCCGAGAGGGGCACAGCCAGGGAGGAGCCACCGGATGGGAGAGGCCTTGGGCTTGGAATGTTGGTGTTGGAGACAAAGGGCCTGGAATTTGCCGGTGTCGGGGTTCCGCCCAGAAGCCAGCCTTCTGCTGTGCTCTCTGGAGAGACGGGTGGTGGGGGTGGCCAGGGTGGTCTCAGGAAGGACGCAGAAAATGAAGGGCCAGGAACTGTGGGTTTCTTCCAGCCACAGCAGGGACAGAGCAGAGCCCCCAGGTCACCCTCAGTGCCTGGGGAGCTGGCACCTGGCCCTCCTGCCTTCCTGCCCAAACCTTCCTCTGGCCTTGTCTACAGACTGGCTGTGAGCGTGCACCGGCCAAAGTCCCGGCTCAGCTTTGTCTGCGGTTTGTGTTCTTGTTTCTGAAGAGACTGTCCCCCACCATATGAGCCTCAAGGCCCTACAAAACCTGGATGCGACCTGGTGCAAGATTGCAGGTTTTTAAAAAATCAATAAAAAAGTAAAAGGAACCCTGGGATGGGACAGGCCCGTGAGTGGAGCTCATCGGATGCCTGGTTTTTAAAGAACTGGACCACTGCCCATCCCGTTTTGTGGTTTTGTGCGTTTGTGTCTCCCTCCGCCACCTAGACCTTTCCGTTGTGAGGCTGGACCCTGCAGGATCCTTTTGAAGGACTCTTTTGGCATTTCCTCAGTAGCAAAGCGAAGCCGAGCGTTTTCTCATACATTTATTTACTGGCCATTTGGAGTGCCTCGTCTGTGAATCCCCTTGTGTGTGCGTCATCTTTGTCCATTTTTTCTATTGATTTGCCTTCTTTATTGGGAGCAGGAGCTTCTCATGAATTCCGTGGCCTGCATTTCATGGTGTCTGTGGTCTCTCTCATGCAGGTTGGAATGTTGATGCGGCCACGGTTGTCCATCTTGTCCTCTACGGCTGGTGGCTCTGTGTCGACATGCCACACCCTCATGTAGTCCATGTTCTGTTGTCTTCTGTTTTGAAGCATCGCTTTCCACATTTTGGTCCTTAATCCATCCAAAATATAATTTTTATTGATAGTAAGAAGCTGGGATCCTGTTTTCTCTCTCTCATGTGGACAGCCAGCAGGCCAGCACCATTTATTTGATGGTCTCTTCTCCCCGACCCTCGCAGCCACCCCTCTACTCTCATCCCTATAGATTCGGCTTTTCTAGAATGTCATCCACATGGTGTCAGCCAGCGTGGCCTTCTGTAGCCCGGGGGCTGCGCTTAGGCTGCCAACTTGGGGATGGGGTGCAGTGGGCTTCCATCTCTATGGGGCGGTCTTAGTTCCACCTCCTGCCTCACTGGGTCCAAGATCTGCTCTCCCCACGTGGTTCTTTCAGCCCTGCCCCTGCCTGCAGACTGGGGCTCCCACGACCTGTGTCCTGTGGGTGCCCTGCCTCAGCTCTGCTTAGTGCTTTTTCCAATCTTTTTCTTTTGTTTGTTAAAAACAAACTTGTTCTAACTTTACGGTTTCCATTCTCTCTTGTCCTCTCTGATGCTCCACAATGCTCATTTCATAGACTATTTTGGTTTGCCCTAACGTCTACCATTCAGGGGTGCCGGCTCTGGGTGGTGGGTGCTTTTCGGCCTGTTGTAATTTCCGCTTAAGCTCCCATCACCCGGGACTTGACACTCTCCCTCTCCTTGAGGGCATCACGTTCGGCCTCATGGTGGGTGAGCCCTCTGGATGCTTCCCCATCTGCTCCTGTCTGTGGGCAATGGAGGCCCCACGGGACTCAATGCTCATGGAAGACGTCGTTTCTGCGCAGAGTCCTGGCGGCAAAGCAGTCTTGGCCTCCCCTTCCGGCAGGGAGAGCTTTTTGTTCCGGTGTCCGGGCCACACAGGATGTCAGCTCCAGCTCCCTGCCGTATGCCTGTCTGCTCACCCGTGACACCCTTGGGGGCTTTTTTGCATCTGACACTCTCCCCCCGCCCCTCCGGCCCAGGTCACTGCGGCCTCACAGGACTTTTTCGTGCCTGGGACCTGGCTCTCCTGTGACCTCCGATAGCTGGTGATTTTGTCCAGCATTTCGACATGTCTGCAGGTAAGGGGGACATTTCGGCTGAGTCCACCGTGTTGCTATGACCTCTTCAAACTACACATTTCCTGATGTTTTCTCTCGTTTGTTGTCACTTTGACGCGAACACAGTCGGTCTGATTCTGCAGGTGGATGGTGCTGCGTTATTTTGAGATCTCCGATGAGTTTCTTGCTGGCTTGTTCTCTGCTCTCCCAGGTCGGGGTTCGAAACGGGTTTGTGCTAGAATCTGTGAAGGTTGCTGTTCATATCTTCCGGCCACACGAAGGAGGGAAATGCTTAGATGGACCGAGGTTTCACCTTGGGGAGTGGGGGTCCCGTCGGGGAGGGGTCCCTGCTTTGCAGAGGCAGGGCGGGCCTGCTGGGGTGTCCCGGGATCCTGTCCGTGTGCCCCATCACCTCCCCTAGACTCTGCCTCCATCTTTGATGGCTTTGAGGCGTGACTTGCCACCTGTCCTCAGTTCCCAGCAGGGACATAAACACCCAGGTTCCAATCTGTTATTCACTTGGGATTTAGGATTGGGAGAATCAGTTCTCCATTAGTCAGTTCTCCATCTTGAACCTGAGCTAGTGCTTTGACTATAAACATCATTTCTAGACAGAGAGGTTGTCTCCACGTAAAGGAATGCTCAGTGTCACCTGGAGGGGAGCAGAGCGTGCATTCCTGTATGTGTGCGCACACGTGCATACGCGTGTGTGTGCACATGCATATGTGTGCACTGCAGACACCCATGCTGGCGTGCCTGGGTCGCCCATAGGAGGCTCCCCTGGAGCTGGCTGCTCTCTGGTCCTCAGTGTGGGTTGGCCAGGACATCTGTGGCTTCCTGGATTCCCGTGAGGAATGAAGGGGGACTGACAACCAGGAAGGGGCCTCTCCCTGACCAGGAGCTGTACCTGGGCAGGCAGGGCTTGGGGGCTCAGGTGGTTCAAGGCCTGGCCCAGGGGAGGCGGGGTGGCCAGCCGAGAGGGGCCCCTTCCCACCTGCTCCTAGCCCATCAGCTGTCCTGTCCTGACACCACCTCACCTGTGCTCTCCTTTCCCCAACAGGGAAAGAACATTTGTCTCTAAAAAAGAACTTGCAGACGCCCTTGAAGCATCGGGGCAAGGCAAGGCGCCAGAGACCGGAGACGCAGAAGCTGCCACTGGGGCCACACTACTTCTATTCCGCCTACAACAAGTAATGTCTGGCCACCCACCTGACCCCACAGGGCTCTGCGAGCCCCAAGGCTGCCTCCTGGCCTGCCCCACACTCATCTCCCAGGAGGTGGCACCAGGGCCACCCTGGGACTCGCAGAAGGGCAGGCAGGTGGGTGAACACACAGTCGCTGCCCTGCAGGCATCCGGGGAGGCCCGTGCTGTACCCTGGGGCCCCTCAGGAGCTGCGACCTCTCCGTGGAGCCGTGTTCTCTCTCCCAGGGTGTGCTGCCTGGCCCCCTGTCCTGGGGGAACCCTGCTCCTCACACTCAGGGGACCTGGGGTCCCAGCTACTGGGGCCTCAGCATTCCAGGGCCCAGGGGGACAGAGGCTGTGTTGAATGTTTGCTGGGAAGACTGGCACAGGCTGTGATGCTCAAATAAAGTGACTCTTCAGCGGATCACGCATCTGTGTCGGCCTCTAGCCTCTGACCAAGGAGCTGGGTGCCAGGGTGCTGTACATAGGGGTGATGCCTTGAGGCCAGTGTGGGGCACCCCTGGGGGGCTGGCAGCTTTCCCCCAAAGATTATGAAGGACTCTGCTTGGGGAGGCATGGTGGCTGGGGCAGGGGTCCCCACTCTGGTGAGAGGCGCCAGACACGGCAGGGTTCTGTGGCACTAGGGACAGAGCAGACCATCAGGACGTCCTGCCAGGTTTAGCCTCGGGACAATGCTGGCCCCCACACACTGGCCTCCTGGACACCTCTGAGGTTACTTGGCAGGAACTGGAACTGCCCGGGGAGTTGGAAGACTCGTGTCCAGAGCAGCAAAGGGGTGGACGGCAGGCGGGCCTCTGCCTTCTCCCGGGTACCAGCGAGGCTGCCCGGGGTGGTACGGGGAGATGCAGACCGACCCAGCTCTCTGCGGCCTTGGGGGCATCCATACCACTGGGTGCAATCAGCATCCAAGCCCCTCCCAACCTCCCCACAGGCCCACGGTCATGCCATGCTGTGCACAGCCCGTGGCACACACTCGCAGCCAGGCTGTGCAGGGCGGGATCACAGCAGCCACATGAGGTCTCCAGCCTTTTATTCATACAAGGGCTCAAAGAACACACGTCTCCTGCTGACACCGTGTGGCAGAAGGACACAGCAGGCCTGGCCTATGCCTGGCCAGAGACGGTGGCAGGACCGTCCTTTCCAGGGAAGCGTGTAGGGCAGGCCAGAGCACAGGCCCCTTTGGGGCCGTCCCAGCATGGGGGTGGTCACTGCCCCAGAGCCCCTGAGAGTCCAGCTGGCCCCTGCCCCGGTGCTAGCAGGTTATTATGGGGTGGGCGTGCCTGTGGGCCTGGGCTGCCTGGTGGAGCTGTGGACCCTGGACTCAACACGTCCAAGGACTGAGCCAGGGGCCCTGGCCAGCGGTCAGAGGCCTCAGCAACCCGGCAAGAAGCAAAGCAGTGCTAAGCGGCCTTCTCAGGGCCCCAGTGCCGTTCAGAACTGCTGTTCCTGCCTCAGCGGCTCGGCATCACCCAGCCCCTCCAGGACCACCATCCCCCTCCCTGCCTGAGCCCCTGTGGCAGGGTGCCAGCCCCCTCCCCAGGGCCTGCAGCAGCTGGGGCCCAGGATCAGGGAGGCCCCAGGCCTGGGGGAGGGGCCTCGCCAGCCTGAGTAAGCAGGTGCACACCCAGATCCTGGGGCCGTGGAAGGTGGCCCGGGTCCTTTGAAAGCAATTTGGGAGGAGCTGAGGCAGCAGCTCTCGGTGAACGAGGAGGAGAAGCATTTGTAAATGGATACTTGTCCGGAAAAGCCCTTGACTGTCGAAGCTTCCCCAGACCCCTGCAGCTGGTGGGGGTCAGGGAAGGGACCCAGGTGTCCCTCCGGCCTGCAGTGCCAGGTCTCGCTGGCCCTGAGCTGAAGTTTCACCAGACACCTAGCATCTCAGTGGCCAGGGGAAGGCTGTGGGTCACCTCCAGCCCTGGTCTGTCACCCTGAGCTGGAACCTGGCCCTGGGTCTGGGTGGGGATGGGGGGGGGGGGCACAGGACAGTGGCCAGGCTGCCCCTCCGCACAGCCAGAGGTCCTTGTGCAGGCCGTGGAGCCCGCAAGGCCTGCTGTGTGAGCCCCCTGTGTGAAGGGGACGCCCACATCTGTGGAGGCTCCAGGCCTGCCCTCCTGGCGATGGCCAGAGCCCAGAGGCAGCGTGGCTGTGCCGGCTGTGGCTCACCCATGCGTCCTCGGACTCGCTGGTCTTTGGCGAGGACACCGTCTGGACAGTGCCTTGTCAGGGCCATCCTCACTAGACAGGCTCTCACCCTGACGTTCGGGGCTCTGAGGGGGCCGCGCTGAGTCTGAAGGATTCATGCATAATCTCAGAGGCCCCGCCAGACCCTGGACAGCAGAAACCCTGAGCCCTTGCAAGGATTCTCGGGCGCTGAGGGGTGGGCCTCGCTCTCTGACGCCTGTAGCCCCGAGTTCGCAGCCAGAGGAGGCAGGAGAGGAAGGCACAGGCTCGCTTGCACTCTCCAGCAGACCCTGCCTGGGGTCGCCTCCTCGCAGGCCTCGGCACTGCTGCCCGGTGCAGAGAGCTGGCGGGAAAGGCCGACAGGCAGGAGGGAGGCAGCCACCGGCATCCCCGAGGTCCCTGAAATACATGGCTTTTGGGGACAATTTTCCTGGCTGACCTGAGGGCCTCATACAAAATTAAAAGCCAGGACGGCCAGCAAAGCCAGGCCTGGGGGGGCCAGCACCACTCGCCCCGCCCCCAGGGCAGTCCCAGAGCCGCAGTCCCTCCACGTCCCTCCCTGTCCTGCCTCAGGACCTCCAGGACGAAGGGAATTAAATATTGTCTGTTTTGCATTTTGGCAAAGTCAGTCCTTGGCCGCCCGCTGTCCCTGGGGCTGGGGGCAGTTACCGCCACCGGGGCCTGGCCGCTGAGAGGACCAGGGTGAGGAGGAGGAGCAGGAGGGACGGGTGGGGCTGGGGGCAGCTGGCGGCCGAGGACTTCTGGCCCTCCCGCTCAGACAGCCCAGGGAGGGCGTGGGTCAGTGTCGTCCGTGAGCTGGAACTCTTCTTGTTGACCCTCCGGCCGCAGACGTCGTCCGGGCAGCCACCACCGCTGCCTGAGCCACTGCCATCGTCGCCTGGGGAGGAGAAGAGTCTCCAGCCCCACCGGCTCTGGGGACCCCAAGTGCAGCATCCCACCGTGTGGGCCCCCCCCACGCCAAGCGCCACCAGCTCCACCCTGACCCCCAGGCGGCTGGCACTCCCTGGGTCTGCCAAGGCTGAGTGGACATCCTGGCCAGGCCTCAACTGGGCTTGGGGACATGGAAGGAGAGGTGGGCATGAGGCCCAGGGGCTGGGAGGCCCCCCTGCGCCCTTCTGCAGCTGGGTGGGGCTCTGTGGCACCCTGTGCTGAGCCCATGGCTCTCAGCCCCCCGGGGGCCCCACCTCCCAGCCCCGGGAGGCCCGGCCCTCACTGGCGTCCTGGAAGTCCACGTCGTCCCCGTTGTAGGCACTGCGCAACCTGTTGGTCATGATCTTCAGCTGCATGATCTGCTGGCGGACGGTCATGTCGGGCTTGGTGATGTCCACCTCCACCTCGGGGTTGTTGATCTGGTTGGCCAGGCCGTCACCCATCACCTCGGGGAGGTACCTGGGGGCCAAGAGGGCAGGCCCTGGGTCACCGTCCCGGTCCCTGCAACGGGGCACCACCCATGCATACCCTCCTGCTCCCTGCCTCCCGTCTGGGTGGTGGCAAGCCTTGAGACCCCCAGTGGCCATTAGGGGCCAAGAGGAGCCCACACAGGCCCCACAGTAGCGAGTGTGGCCGCACTGAGCATGGTATGTGCCGCAGGGAGCTGGCACACGGTGAGGATTTGGCCCTTGTCCCAGCTTTCTGTGTCCTGCTGTGTCCCCCCTGTTGGGCATGGTCCTGTGCACATAGCACCCACTGCCACGGGCCAGACAAGGGGCCCAGCTGAGACTGTGCAGGAGGGACAGCCCGTGGGCAGCCAGGTGGCACCTACCGGCCCTTGGCCATCCCATTCCAGCAGCGGTCATCGCTGGCGGCGCTCATGGCTATCTTCTCGCTGCACAGTGTCCCTGGGAGGCTGATCCAGAAGTCTTGGGCGTCACGGAGCTGGGTCTTGGCCTCGGAGACCTGCCGGGCAGCAGTGAGGCCATGGGGTGCCCGAGCCCAGCCTCCCTCCCCTCCCCCTGCCCACCCAGGGCCTGGCCGACTGAGGGGCCCCTCACCAGCTTCTCCAGGGTGCCCGTGGGCGGCTTCTCCTGCAGTGCCAGCTTGCCTCGGCGCCGCTTCTCCTCGGGCCCAGGGCCCTGGGGGTTCACTTTGGGGTTCCCACAACCCTGGATGACCTGGGGAGAGATGCAGGGGTCCTGGAGGGGCCGAGGCCATATCTGGGATGCACCCCCCAACAGCCACTGCGCCCTCCTGCCCGTACCTTGGCCGTGAGTGTGTCCTTATTGTCCTGGAGAGCGTTGATGGCCTCTGCCAACCACAAGTGCACACTGCCGATGACACTCTCTGCGCCCGATGGGCCCCAGAACTTGTCAGTGATGAGAACCATGGAGTCTGGTGCACACACACACAGATGTGAGTACACACGTGGAGGTGTGAGCACACACACATAGGTATGAGCACACACACAGAGACATGGGCACACACATGAAGACATGAGCACACACGTGGAGACCTGAGTGCACACATATGCATGAGCACACACAAGTGTGAGCAAATACACGGAGGTATGAGCACACACACGGAGGACACTTTGTACGTATGCATGACGGCCCCCCTCGTATCAACAGATTTAAGCTCACACACGTGGACATGACTACGTGCTGGGCCACTGTGTCAGTTCATGTACACGTTAGCCTGTATGAGCTGATATGTATACATGTTGACTCACTCCAGGCCAGTACATGTGTGCTGTGTGTGGCATTGGCACACACATGTGTGGAGCACATGTAAGCTTACATGTGTTGGCAGAGACGTTTGGCCCACCACATGCATGTTAGCTCACACATGTTGGCTTGCATCCTGCCATCACATATACACGTTAGCATGTGTTTTGGCATATGTGTGGGCCCACTATGTCAACATGTGTTAGTACTTACATACATTGCCATATAGGCATGCTGACCTCATGTCAGTGCCAGCATCGCTCATGCATGTGTTGGCCCACCGTGTGTCACACATGTGTTGACAAAGTTTGCATGTTGGGGCACTTGCTCAGTGAGGAAGGATAATGAACCATGACCCCATAGGGCTCCCTCCCAGGCAGCTGCCCAAGTCACCTTCCATTAGGGACATTCAGAAGGAATTCTTGTCCCTCGACCCTGGGACTGCCTGCCCCCCAGGCTCCAGAGGACAGGCCCAGCTTTGCCCTCTCCTGCAGGGCCCGGACCGCTCTGACACGTGGGGGCAGTGAGGGCTCACCCAGAAGGTTCCTCCACTCGGCATCCAGGTCAGCCTGGTTGGCCAGGCAGCCCTTAAGCACGTTGCGGCAGTAGTCCGGGCAGGGCCGGGCGCCGGGGACCCCCAGGCAGTGTGCACAGTAGACCAGCTTCATGACAGCCCGCGAGCACTCCGGACCCAGGGGCACCTGGGGAAGCCAAGGCAGCCTGAGTCTGACCTCACAGCTGGGTGGGCCCAGCGCCCCAAGGACCCTGGAGTGGGGGGTTCTGCACGCAAGGTGGGAGACCTCAGTTCTGCCCCAGCCACAGTGGGACCTCAACCTGGCCCTGGCCCTTCTTGGGGCCCGTCTCTTCTCAGATGACCACGTGGGCCTGCCTGCTGTGGGGGCGCTCATCCTAATAATTGCTGCCGTCCCAGTGCCATGGCTCCCTGAAGCACTGCCATCACTAACCCGCCCAGGGATGCATGAAGGTGCCCGCCTGCAGTGCAGATGAGGAATTGAGGCTCAGGGCTGGAGGCACGACCTTTGAAGGACCCCAGCTGGAGGGCAGGTGCTCACAACGAGGGCTGTGCAGGTGTGAGGCTGACGCCCTCCCACACCCGTCACCCAGTGGGCCTGTGAGGCCTCGGGCCCCAGCCCATGCCAGCCATGGCTCTCTTGTCTCCCATCCGCCTGATCCCTATTGCTGGCTCAGTATCCAGCCCCAGGCCCCTCTCCCTTCCCTTCCTGCCTGGGACCCAACCTGGCCCTGAGGGTGGGACTGAACAGTGGGTGGCGCTCACGTCCGCAGAGGTGCTGTCTGCAGGCCCCAGGGTCAGGAGGCGCAGGGGCACAGGGGAACAGGGCGGGGGTTTGAAGCAGTGGGGGCAGGCGGGGGGTCTTGAGGAGTTCTGTGCGCACCTGGGCCACCTTCCGGACCACGTCGCTGGCCACGCCCAGGCCCTGCACGAAGGAGCGCGCTGCCACGAAGGCGCGGGTCGCCCGCAGGCGCAGCTCGCGGGGGGCCTCCCCAAAGGGCCGCAGCGCCTCGGCCTGCTTGCCCAGGCAGTCCAGGTATTCGTCGGGCAGCAGGAGCTGCGGGTGCAGCTGCCGGAAGAGGCGCTCGAGCAGGCGGGCCCAGAACTCGGCCAGCGTCTCCTCCAGGTGCAGGTTGGCCCCGCGGTAGTAGCGGCGCAGCTCCGTGTACAGGTCCCGGAAGGCCTTGGCGCTCTGCGTGTACAGCTCCCCGAAGGCGCCGGGGAAGGCCTCCTGCAGCGCCCGCTCCGAGTCGTTCAGCAGGCGCTGGAAGTGATCTGGGCACGAGGAGGCAGGCGTGAGGCCTTCCGGGGGCCTCATGCCCTCCTGCCCACCACCCACATGCTGTGGCAGCTGGACCAGAATTCAGGGCGCTCTTCCCGGGATACCCGATGCTCTGAGAGAATATGCTCGTGTGGTCATCAAAGCCCTGACCCCAGGCTGCAGAGGCTGGACAGGCCCTGGGTGCCCCCAGAAGGCTCCGGAGACCTCCCTTCCTGGCCTGGGGTGCAGAGGGTTGGGTGGAGGTCCCCTCCCGGGTCTTCTAGGTCTCCAAGTGGGACTCCAGTTGACATTTCTGAGCTGGGCCTTGGGCAGGGGACAGACACACGATGTCTCAGTGACCCACTGGGTCACCAGGGGAGGGGCCTCTGTGGGTGGGGCAGAGGGTATCATCCGAGTCGATGGGTGGGACCCACTGCAGGAGACGGGTCCAGCGTGTGCCTTGCCTGCTCTCCCTCCCAGCTACTCTCCTTTCTTCCCTCCACCTCCCCTGCCCGTCCTGTTGCCCAGCTGGCCCTTCTGCTCCATGGGGTCTCTGCAACCATCCACTCTCCACGCCAGCCATCTCTGAGGCTCTCCTGGGCTTCTGCCTCTTCCTTCCTGCCCTGTCCTCCCCACGTCTGGCTCTCCCTGTCCGCCTGTCTCCCTTGGATGCTTTCCTTCTGGTTCAAGCGGCCCCAGCTCTTATCACGCTCTCTGGAAGCCGCCCTGTCTGAGGGCCCAGCGGGGAGACCTTTTGCCGCCCTTGGGACGTGACCAGAGCTTCAGACGGCGGGTGGAGGCTTTCCCGGGGTCAGGGTGTAAGCATGCACCTCAGACCTCCATGGCTGGGGAAAATGCCCTATACTCTGTGTGTCTGGCATGTGCCCCAAATAGCGCTCACCCCCTCGGCAATGAGACATCAGGATCCATGACCGCAGAGACCATCCACTCAGACTCGACCCAAGAACTGTGGCTACCCTCCCTACAGAGGCCCCGGGACCCTGGGCAGCCAGGGGTTTTCAAGCCCAAACTTCGGTGTCCCAGGGACACAGGGCCATGTTGGCTTTGCTCTGGGCCTGGTGAACATCAGGCCTGAGATCCTCGAACCAGCCCCCACTCCCACCCACCCAAGGCCTCAGGCTGCAGGGCTGGCTGGGGCAGGAGACCCCTCTGTAGCTGGGCTGCCGGCCCCCAAGTGGGAGCTGGACAGCCCCTGGGCCTGGCTGGGGGACTGTGGGAAGGGGTGGACAGTCCAGGTTCCCATCCCAGCTCCCTCTGTGGGGTTCTGGCTCCTGGCAACCCCCTACCCTAGTCTCTCTCCCTAAATGGGCAGTTTGTCGTTCAATCATTAGCCCCGCTACACCCTGGGGATCCTGGACCCACACACCCAGGCGCAGCCCCATCTCCTGACCGGGGTCCTGCTCTGAACCAGGCCCGAGGCAGCTGCCCCCGAAGGCTAGGAGAGGTGGGTGTGGTGGGGCTGGTGAGAGAGCTTAGGGCCCCGTGTCCTTGAACACAGCCACCTGTGGCCCTGCCAGACTCACTTCCCAGGGGCACTGCAGTCCAAGGCTGCTGCTGGTGGCCCAGGCGAGGGCCGCTCTTGAGGCACAAGGGGGCCAGAACCAGGCATGACGGTGCGGGTGGGGGTGGGAGGTGGCATGCAGAGAGGGAGGTGGAGGAGAGAGATGAGGTGTCCCTTCTAACAGAAATTCTGGTCCCAAATGGGTGTCTGAGTTTGCGCGCCAGACAAGACGGCATAACTATCAGAAGGCCAGAGCCTTCTGGAGGGCAGTGGAGGGGCTGCAGGGCACAGAGCCTGGGATGGGGTTCAGAGTGTGGGGGACACAGAACCCAGCACAGCAAGGAGGATGATGGCAGAAGGGAGCAGGAGAGAGATGACGGGTCAGGCTGTGGGTGGCATGAGGAGAGGGACTGATGCATGCAGACGGGACACCAGGAGTGCCAACAGGGAGCAAGGGGGGATCCAGGGCTGCAGGTCTCAGTGACCTCAGGGATACCCCGGGACGCAGGGGAGTGGACGCAGGGTCCCCACCCACAGACAGGCCCAGGAGCACTGGGTGTGAGGTGGCACTGAAAGGGGACGCCCACATCACACCCACCCCTCCCTGGGCAGCCAGGGAAGGCTTGCTCCAAGTGTCATCATCAGAGGCACAAAGATGCCAGCTGACCCAACAGGGACCCAGTAGGCGCCAATGAGCTGAGGCCAATTAAAGCTGGCCAGGTCAGCAGCCACGTGGAAATGACCTCGGGCTCCCCGGCCTGTCCTCCGCGGCAGGGGCCACCCCTCCCTGGGAGCCTGTGAGGCCAGCTGCTGTGGGCGGGAGTCCAGGGCCTGAGATCCACGGGCCTCCAATGGAAGCCACTGCGGGTGTTTGCAAGCTGGGCCTCAAGGTCATGCCAGGGCTGCCCGTCAGCCTCACGTGCCCACTCTCCCTCTTCTCTCTGTTCAGGCTCACTGCCCCAGCCCGCCAGCTCCACCCTGCACCTTCTCCCTCCACTGAGACCTTGGGCTTCGATCTCAGCTCAGAGGTCCCTTCCTGGGGGATCCCTCAGCACCCACGCTGGCCTCTTCGAGGTGCCCGCTGTCATACATCACCCCACCATTCCTTGTTACAGCCGGCTGCTCTCTGCCCAGATCTGACCACGTGAGACCTGGTAAGGGCTGGGGATGACTCAAACAGCACAGCCGCACTCTCCTCGTGTCCCCCCAGGGCAGGCCTAGCTCTCTGCAGCCCCATCACCCCTGATCTCAGCCCTCACCCTGAGCTCCCTGGATCCAGGCCACCTGGTGGCCAGAGCAAGGCTGGTCCCTGGCAGGTGCTTGGGAGAGCTCTGTGCGTGACAAGGAGCCACCTTGAGAGCAGAGGATCCCCTCTGAGGGCCTGATAGAAGGGACGGGCCCTCTCTCTCCAAAAGTGCACACCATGCAGTGGACGCAGAGGCCTGCAGACAACTCCGGGGCTCACGAAACCCCTGCTCAGGCCCCTACCCGTGGGCAGCCTTCTGCAACCGTGACGCCCCCAAACCTCAGCCCCCAGCCCCCAAGTGCTAACGCACTACCCTGACCCCACCACGGGGAAAGGGCCCTGTGCACCTAGCTCCCCACAGTGGCAGTGTCCTGCGGTCCCCGTGCTCCAGCGGCCCACTCACCGTCAAAGCCCCGCAGCTGGGTGGCGAGCATGGCCTGCAGGGCGCGGCCACTGTCCAGGAGGGCGGTCTCTAGCTCAGCGCGGCTCCGGTTGGCCAGGTTCTCCTCCATCTCGCTGGTGCAGCAGGTGTAGCCCTGGGGGCAGATCCGCAGATGCTCGCCTGTGGGGAGGGGCCGGCGTGAGGGAGAGGAGGGGGCGGGGCGGGCAGCTGTGGGGACCGCAACAACTGGGCTCTGAGGGGTCTCCTGAGCAGAGTGGGTGTGGACGGCAGATGCGGGAGGGGACACAGCTCTGGCGCAGGGCCTGAGGGGTACGCCAGCACAGGGATGCAGGAGCAGGGCTTCCTCTGCAGGCCCCGCCCTCTGGGCCGCCTGGGGCAAGCCCTGTTGAGGGGTGGTGGGGGCTGGGTGTGAAGCAGAGGGCAGGTGGCTGAGCCCCAGTGCAGGGATGTCCTCTCCACTCAGCTCCGCCTAGCCCCCAGCCCCGCCCAGCTGCCACCAGGCACAGGGGGGCCATCCCAGAGGCTCCGGAGCAGCTCAGCTCTCAGCTGTACCCCAGCACAGAGAGGCCTCGGGGTCCTGTGTTCGGGTGGGGGTGGGCTGCCAGACTCCAGGCTCACTAGGGGAGGCCTGCCCGGTGCCCCTTGCCTGGGCCCAGGCTGAGCACGGGGAGGGAGGAAGGGATCCCCGAGGGGAAGGGCAGAGTCTCCTTCCTCGGCCCTAGCATGGGGGGCAAGCTCCCACCGAGGACAAGTGCAGCCTGGAGACCAGTTCTGGGCTGGCAGAGGCTGTAGCCCCACAAGGGGCGGCCTACCCCGGTGGGGATGGGGCCGGGCCCAAGTTGGCTGGCGGGCCTGAGGCGAGCCCCGCCCCCATCTAGCAGGACAAACCCGTGGCCCCTTCAGGTGACGGTCCCTTCTCCGCACCCTCAAAGTCCCCATCACACCTTGTGCCACAGCCTCCGTGTTGGCTCCCTGGGGACTGCTTATAGCCCTGAGCTAAGACAGTCCCATTACCAGGTGAGGACATGCCCTGAGTCAACACAACCCTGCAGGCACACCATGCAGCCCATGGGGATGGTTGCCTCAGGGAGAGGAAAATCCACTCCTTTGAAACCGTGCTGGTCCCAGTTTTGTAACAACTGCATTTTGAGGTGGGCGCTGTGATCCCACTTTATAGACCAGGAAACTGAGGCTCCCCGAGATCAGCTTTCCTGTCCAAGTCACACAGGGAGGGGCCGAGGGCTCAGGCGGCCTGACTGCAGGCCCCCACACCCACTGGGTCGTGGGTCGCACCCCACCCCACCCCTCCTCCCAGCTCTCCCGGCGCACTCCCCACAGGCCGAACTTCCTGCTTCTAAGCTGGAGGAGGGTCTCTCCTGGTGGGGGCCTGGGCTGGGCCCGGAGTAGGAGTGGAGGCAGGGGTCTGGCCTGGACAGGGGCTTTGTGGGGCTGGGGTAGAGGTGTCTGCTGGTGCAGCCAGCACAGCTGTGGGCAGGGGGTGGAGTAGCCTGGGCCTAGCTCTCTGGGTCCTGAGGCATCCTGAGGGGTGGGGGGCTCCGAGGTAACCTGGAGAGGACTCTGCAGCCCTGAACGAGCTGCCCCGGTGGGCAGTGGCTGGAGGGTCAGGCAGCCTCTAGCAGAAGCCTTGGGGGGTAAATAAGACTAAGTAACGATCTCGAGGCTGGATGACCCCTGGAGAGCCTGTAGGGGTGGCCAGGTCAGACTAAGTTCGAGTGTGTTTCTCTCCTGCATCCCATGTGCACAACGCCCGGGGGAGCTGACACGGTGGAGAGAATGGTGTCTGGGCTCCAGCGAGTCACACTGTGGGCCCCTCTGTGGCTCTGTGCCCCTCAACTTGACAGCGAGGAGACGGTGGCACTGCCGCAGGTGCAGTGAGAGGGGGCCGCTGCATACTTGGGTGGGACTGGAGGGAGGTGTCAGAGGGGCGTGGGAGAGCCCACTCAGAGGTAGAGGGTAAGGGGAGGTTGGGGGCGCAGAAAGGTGGGAGGGCAGAGGCAGGACAGCCCCCTCCTCCTTCCCACACAAACCTGCCCTGAGCGCCTCATTTGCCAAGTGCCCCCTGCTGACACCTCCCTCCTCCTGCCCGGGGGCTTGCCCCCTGCAGGGGCTGCATGTCTGGAGGACCACCACCCCCATTCCCAGGGCCTGGAAGTGATGCTAGCATGCTCATCTGATGGGGGCTATGGCCACCCACCTTGGGACAGGGCTGACCTTGGGGTGGATAGATCAGGGTGGCAAGACGACTTGTGTGCCCACCCCTTAGACAGCCCTGGCCTGTAGGGGTTCGCAAGTAAGGGGTCTGGGATCCAACCCCCTGGGGTAAGTGAGGCCAGGTGCAGGCCTTGTGGGAGCCAGCTGGGGTCGAAGGACAGAGCCTGGCTCCCCTGGGCCTGGTAGAGAGGAGGCACCCCCCATCCCGTCCCCCTTCCTTCTGGGGGTGTAGTTCACCTCCAGGCAGGGAGGGCTGGGACATGAGAACATCCCCAGCAACCATCCTTTGCTCTCAGCTGCCTTTACTGACGCTGTGTGGCCCCGGACCCTCGCGAGCAGACAGCAGGATACAGAGCAGGACCGAGGGTCCTCTCTCAACGGTCCCAGGTGGCACAGCAGGGCAGATATTGGACCCACCTCCTTGAGGGTGCAGGCCTCCGGGGGCTGTGCAGTGGGGCCGTGTACACCCAACCAGGAGGAACCTGAGGCTCCCTATCCCATGCTGGCCAGAGGTCCACCCCGACCCCTGTGGGCCTCCCCCTCCAGCTGCAGGGCCCAGAGAGCACCCTCAGCGGGGACCCTCACCTGCAGCTCAGGATCCCTAGCTGGTGGTACTGGGTAGGGGTGAGAGGGTAAGTTAGAGGGTGTGCCCTGGGGGAGGGAGAGGTGGCAGGTGCTAGCCTGGAGCTTCCAGGTGACACCCCTGGCTCAGCTCTGATGGGCATCCAGCCCAGGCCAGCTGGGTCATGGGGCAGCAGGTGGGCAGACAGGAGGGTGCAGATCCCTGGGGCAGACAGAGCTCTTCAGGCGTAGGCACCCATGGGCCACAGGGGCAGACAGCATCCCCAGCTGGCTGCCCTCCCTCCTGAACCCTCCTGGTCCCCTGGAGGACCCAATCCCCCTCCTGAACCTCCCATTCACACAGACAGGAGAGAGAAACTGAGTTGACAGAGAGAGGAAAAGACAAAATACCAAGAGACACAAGGGGCTCCCCGGTGCGCAGGCTCTGAGTGGGGCTCCTTGGCACTGTCGGCCCACCCACTGCTCACAGCTGGGAGCTGGCCCCCACCCCAGTGGCCTCCCCGCAGCCCCCCAACCCTGCCTGGCCACCTCGTCCAGCCGGCCCGGTGACCTGCGCTGTTCCGGCAGCCCCAGCACAGCCCCCGTCCCTCCCTCCCTCCTCGGACACACACGGGAGTGAAGACACGGAGCCAGAGCCTGGGCGCCGGCCTGAGGCTCCGGGCAGGCTGGGCAGAGGCGGCCCCGGAAGCCTGCTGCAGGGCGGATGCGGTAGTCGAGGCACAGAGGCTCTGAGCTTCCCTTCCGCCCAGCCCTGGCCCAGATCAGCCGGGGCCCACAGGTCATCTGTTGGTCCTGGACATCAGCTGGCTGGAGGTGAGCTCTGCAGCGCACCCCTGCACTTCCCAACAAGCAAGCCGCCCCTCCTGGTCAGAGCCAAAGGGTTGAGCGGTGGGGGGGGTCTGCCTGGAGAAAGCATGAGCTCTCTGACCCTAGAAGTGTGCAAGTCAGACTGACAGCATTCTCCTCTTGTACTGCAAACTTCTCCACACCCAGACCCGCCCCTCTTCTCTCAGCTCAGTACCTGGAGAAAGGTGAGACTCAGGCCAGGCAGGAGAAACTGCTCCTGCTCCTCCCCACCCATCGTACAGCTGCCAAGTCCACCCCAGCGGGCAGCATCAGCCTGTCCCCTCTTCCCACTGACCCCTCCCGTCCACACTGAGGCTGCTCCCCAGGTGCCCAGTGACGGTCCCTCCTTTTGTCCTTGGTCCCTTGGCTGCTTATTCAACAGCTGACTATTCCTTCCAGAACTCTCCCTTCCCTTAGGCTTCAGGAAGCTTCCTCTGGAGATCCCACATTTTCTGGAGGGGGAGTGGGGAGGTTTGTTCCCCTACCCTGTAGAGCCTCTCGTCCAGGCACCCGCCCCCACCAAATCCCAAGGTCCCCAATTCCCAGATGGCCTCTGACCCTGCTCCTCAGGTTAAAATACCGGCACTCATGCCCTAACCCCATCGCAGGTGCTTCTCTTGCCGGGCAGACAACCGAGGTGCTTCCCCCTGCCAGATTCAGACCTCTTGGGGTCCCCCAGACCCCCTTCTCCTCACTAAGCCCCTGTCAGTCTACAGCTCAAACATCTTTGAGGCTCACACCCTCCTGCCACCTGCTGACACAGCCATAGCTCCCAGCCCTCCCGTCTTAGGGCACGAGCAGCCCCCTAATGGCATCCCCACCCAGCAGCCACCACCTCCAGCACTGTCACCCCAATGGTTTGGCTCAAGATCCCCATCCCAAAGGTGGTCACTATCTCTAATGCTGGACACAGACCTCATTTGTCCAGACCCAGCCTGGCAGCCGCCTGTGACTGGCGGCCCTAGAGCCCTCCCAAAGAGACTGCAGAGGGAAGATGGCGCCACGCCAAGCCCATCTCTCCAGAAGCTTCCACTGCTCACACAGGAGTATGCAAACCGCCTGCTCGACCCGCCTTTAAAGCCACATCCCAGACGCTCTGCATCAACTCACCCAGCCGCCCCTGGACTACTCCCTCTAAATTAGTGTAGACAATTAGCCCGCACTGGCCTCCTGCACTGTGCCGGGACACAGCTACGTGGGCAGTCTCCACGTACCACGGTCTCCAAACACACCAAGGGAAAGGCCCAGGTCTGTCTGGAAAAGTAGGAAGGGAGCTGCTTGCCCATCCCTCCCCTCTACTCAATTCTGAACCCCATAGCGCGCCTTGCTGGCTGACTGCGGGGGCGGGGGGAGGGAATGCAGAAGGCTGCCTCCAAGCAATAGACCCTTTTTTGGACAACTGCCCCATGCCCACTCCCCCGGGGACCCCATCCAGCTCCAGGGGGCCAGGGGATCCTCTTGGCATGCCCACCAGTCAGCTGCGGGGCACTGGACAAACG